CCTCTATCTTGAACAATTTGAATTTGAAAACTTTTTTTGTGAGATGCGGGATCAAAATATGTTTTTCAAAACAATGTTTTTGTGTCCCTGCTGCATCCTTTATTGCACCGATTTAGTCCAACTCAATTTTGGCTGCATTTCCAGAAAAATATTTTTTTGTTACCGAATTGTTAATATATGTACAGAATTGTTACACACCTCCACCTTGCCTCCACTCTATCTGTCCACCCCGCGCACACATTGCAAACACAGTTCACCCTGCTTGCTTGCCCACTGGAGTTCCAAGAATGACCTTCTCAAGGATCAAGATATGTCTCGAGCGAGTACATCTACTGGGATGTTTGCCTGAAACGACTCATCCATAAAGCCATTGTTCACGTTGGGGGGTGATGATCAATAGTATATGTCCATTGGTCAAAGGTAATGCCATCAGTAATCGAGCAGTTTTTAGAGCCCTTACATACATCGTCTCTTCTAGAACACTTATCGTTCTTGAAACAAGAACAATAGTGCAAGGACAATGATGTTAGTAATTGACATTGTCCTTGAAACAAGGACCACAATGAATTCCAGCAATGACGGCCAAGCTTTGTGTACAGCTCACTCTATAAATACGACAGCCCAGCAGCGTATCTGATCTTCATCTCTTCAAAGATATTGCTCTCTGGCCCACAAACCCTTAGCCTCCTGAACTATCTTCATTCAAATACCATCAACAAATTAACATGACCTGTATTAACAGCTGCCCTAACACAGACGGTCTACCAGATGGACATCAATGTTCTACATGTGGTCTCAAGGCGTACCTTGTTATGTTCGGAGGCTCGAAAGGTCTGGAAGCTTTGCTGAACTGTGCAAGTGAACAGCATATGTCTCTATTCATCTATCTCTGGTTGCTGACAATCTGTTATCCAGCTCGTGATCTGTGCTTCGTGCACCAAATTCATGAAGATTGTTGGTAGCTTCTGCCCTGGTGGTGCCTCCGCGCCATGCAGTTGTGGCAAAACTGGTCAGCTCTGCTTCTTCTCTTCTAGTTTGCGCCGTATGCTAACCTATGTAACTTTAGACTGGATCGCCCTCGACATGTTGTCTATTCTTTCCTTCATCAACACCAAATTGTCTTCCTCCTTCACAGCTTCTTCTTCAGCCCAGCTGCTAGCCATGATGACCGCTCTCTTCCTCCTCGTCAAGACCTAGCCCACCTTTACCACAAATTCTACAAAAAGAAGAGTGATGAGAAATTGTTACCTGAGACAAAGGGGACAGATGAGTCGCCAGCTGCGCATCCAACCTCTTCTATGGCGCAGCAGCGCAAGACCGTAGGAAACTCTTCTCGGGTGGCCTGCAAGCAGTATGCGGCGCAGATGAAGAAGGACGTTCTTGGGGCTGACGAAGAGCAGAAGGCCATGAGGAAGAAGGAGGGGGTAATGAGGATCCAAGCTCTTCCCACTGCTGTGGTTCATGGTGAGTGACTGACAGATTCTGTCCTCAATCAATACACACTTCGACATAAGACTGACCTCCTCTTGATTTTATAGGTTCGTCAAAGAGTACAGCCAAGGCATTCCAGGAGAAACTTTGGGAGTTGCCCGACAACATGACGGTTTACCCATCCGACCAGAACCTTGAGCAAGTTCTGGATGAAGTACTCAGTCAACTGAAGTCTTCATGGACCGCTCTTGATGAAGAGAACGGGCAGCAGGCCGGATTTGCAAAACACAAATTCGACTGGCCCAAAGAAATGTTAGTTACATTTCCAGACTTGGTATGGCTGTGACTGCTTGCTGCTCTTGCTGTCGCTGCATGCTTCTTGTTGCTAGGTGATCGATCTCCGGCTGACTTTTGTGTTTTAGGAAAACTGGCGACTCTTCTTCTGTCAAGTTCAGCTCCCTGCCAACCAAAGACCTCGGCCAGAGACATCAGCATTGCGGTTAGTTTGGGTCCACACCTTCTGGCCGAGCAGACTCCTCATCTTCTGCAGAGCGTATACCAGAACGACGCCAAGCAGCCCGCTCGAGGGAAGGGTCGCGAAACGCCCGTTCTCAGGATTGCAGTCCATGTATACAAACCATTGCAGGTCAGCCTTTCCCCCCTTTCAGTTTGAGAAAATATCTTAAACGACCCTCTTTCAATTGTTAATATCTAAAACGACCTCCTTTTCCATGAATATATCTAAAACGACCCTTTTGCCTATTTGGGGTATTCGGAGCATTCTGGCCGCACTAGCGTCCTGAGTAGGTGACTCACATGACATATGGCTCCTCTTACGCCACTGTTGCATCCACTTTTGCCTCCACTCTTCATGTCCACCTGTAGCCGCCAACTTGAATCCAACCTCAAATCAATGCATCTCACAACAAATCTCAATACCAGCTGCTGACATCTGAACCATCTTCTTGACCACCCAGTCATTCGATCTCTTCTCCTTTTTGAATCTGACTCTGTATTGGCATGACCTCAATTCCGGACTCTCTTCGCAATCCGACCCCCCCCCCCCCCCCTCTTCATCTTCATCCTTGTCTTTCTTGTGTGTCGTCAGACAGCCAAAAGACTGCAAGGTACTGCTACCCTTCAGGGGAGTGGGTATAGAGTTGTTCTGGGCAATTGAGTACCATGTCACCCATACAGTGACATCGTCCACGGACCGGAAGCGCGTGCCAACTTCTAGGAGGGGAGTGTCATATTTGGTGTTGGGATCTGCAATCCAACGCGGATCAGTCGCCTCCTCCCCAGTGTCAGCCTCTTCATCGGCTGACATTCTATCCTCTTCTTCATCTTCCGGCAGTAGGAACGGGCGGATGTCGACAACACAGCCATCCATCACAGCAAGACCATCGGTCGTGTCGTTGCGAATGATATCGATGGTGCTTTTGTCGGTGTCCAAAGAAGACGGTGGCCCGGAGGCAGGTTCGAAGTTGGAGGAATCTATACTGGAAGAGCTGTTTTGGATAGAAGTCGAGGATAGTAGAAGTCAAGGATAGCAAGACACAACAAACATGATGCAGAACAAACAACACGCCCCGTGCCGCGTCCGAGCATGCCTAAATGAGGTGCACGTGGCTTTGCCAGGGTAAACCAGGGAAGGAGCGGGGGTAACGCGGCCAGAATGCTCTGAATGCCCCAAATAGGCAAAAGGGTCGTTTTAGATATTAACAATTGAAAGAGGGTCGTTTAAGATATTTTCTCCTTTCAGTTTGCTCGCTTACGTTTGTCGCTTATACTGCCATAGGGTGATCCTGTTGTCACACTCAACAAGGGAAATAAGCGAGCTGCCGATGACGAGGATGACGACTAGGGGCCGAAGGACAACAATATCGGCAATGTGAAGTCCAATACACATGGGCAGCCCCCTGCCAAGAAGGCTAACACATCATCTGGTGAGGGTGTTCATCAAGTGCCTCCTTCTTCGGCTTCTTCTTCTTTGCACTGCTCCTCCTTGGCTGCTGGTAACTCTTCTGATGGCTCCGGGGGGGGGGGCAATTGCTCGAACCCCATCACCATGACCCCGGCCTCTGCAGTGGGGGGGGGGGGCGCAAATGTCATCCTCATCCTTCTCCAAGCACCAACAAGAGCAGCTGCCAACACCGCCTCCATCTTCTCCAGCAGCTGTACCACCCACGGCCCCAACAACTAAGTACTTCGATCGCCACCATTCCCATCTCTTCCTTGTCCCCGGGGCCTCACTTCCTTCTCAGTGCTGGTATTACAACACTGGACTATTTCAGATTTGAAACGATCGTCAAGAACCACATGAGGCCCCCACCACCAGCTCTCCCTCCTCCTTCAGCCTCCCGCTGCCATGAAGTCTATTTTATCAGCAACAACCACAAGATAGATGGTCTCCCCCCAAGGCCGGGCTACTCGGCATTCTCTGACAAAGTGTATACCGGTCTGTGTGTCCCCCCCAACATCACAGAGATTCATTGCTCTTGGATGTATCCAAAGTTGTCATGGCCCCAATGTGTAGCCACCGCACTCTGTCCGGCCTCCAATATCACCCTCTGCTCATCGTTCCACCAGTGGATAGAGGCCTCTGCCTTTGTCTGTCTGTACATATCTTTTATCTGTTCTAGCTGTTCGTGGTTTGGCCTTGTCAGACATTCCAGAAAGACATACTTGACATCAACATACACTAGTATGTTTCAAATATCAAAAAATTGCCGCGGATGATTTTTCATCTCGGACGATATTTGCTTCCGTTGAGGGGAGTCTTTGGCTGGAGATTTTCATCTTGAACGATTTCAAATTTGAAACCATTTTTTGTGAGATGCGGGATCAAAATTATGTTTTTCGAAACGATGTTTTTGTGTCCCTGCTGGCGTCCTCATCCTTGTTTCTACTCGCTCATCTTTCACTTGCCATGTATCTTTGACCACCCACGCAACTTGTCCCCTCAGCAGCACGCTCCCTCCCCTCCCATCTTACCAACAGTCCCACACCATCCTCTCTACTACCTTGATACTCCCCTACCGACATGTCGGATATAGGTCAGAGGAGAGTGAGACAATTGTGAACATCCTGCTGGTTGTGGCTACGCTTCAGCAGACGCTCGAAACTACGGATGAAGTGCATAAGTTGCATAGGCTGGTGCAGCACCCTTACGTGTGGGGGCGAGAAGTTAATGACAGAAAGGGTGACCACGTGGTAGACATGTGGAGATATTATTTAGAATCGCCGGTTGGAAAGTGTCATTATCTAGAATCGCCGGTTCCCCAAAACAGAGGCGCGTCTGGGTGAAGAATTGTTTTGGACGCGGCCCAAGTGGAATTCTGGGCCGCAATTTGGACTTGGAGATAATTCATCGCACTCAGGCCGGCAACCTGCTGGTTATCGATGCATTCAATGCTTGTTGTCTCGTATTGATTGGTGTCATTGAGTAGCCATGGTTGATGTCTGTTATCCTCCCATGGTTCACATGTCTTATTCATGTGTAAAACAATGTATGCCACAGCACTACTTGTACATATCACTCGCCTACCTCCTAGTCCCCCCCCCCTCGCCTACTCCCAGTCTCTCCAGTTGGTGACGTCCCTGGGCACCTCCAGCTCCTCACCGACCGCCCTCCCAAAGTACTTGCATTTCTTCGACCTCGCTTTGTGACGCGCCCCCCCCTCACACAACCCACACTGGTAACAGCGCTTACCAGCAGGCAGCAATTCATCCTTACCCAACGGCGCCAACGTCCCGTCCGGCTGCTTTCGTTTCTTGCTCGTCTTCGGCCTCCCCCTCTTCTTCACCACACCCGGTTGGCTCATCCCCCCCTCCACTCTCAGCTGAGAGTTTTGGGTGGGGGCGACTCCGCTTTGCCCCCTCTTCTTGGATCGGCGACCCAGTCCCGCTATCTTATCGGGAAGGTTGAACTGGGTCTCCTCGAAGTTGTCGGTCGGGAGCGGGTCAAACTGGAAGGAGTAGGTTTTGCGGAACGCGAGGGAGGAGTGGCAGTGAGGTATGTATCTGTGGTCATAAGTCAGCGCGTGCCCAGATAGCGCAGATAGGTGCTTACCTCAGTGGATTCAACCTCTTCTCGAATCTCTTCAACACATAGTCGTTGAGGAGCACTGCCCAGACGTGTCTACAAGGCAAAGCCCATTGCTTGGGCTCCCCGCAGCTGCAGGACATCTCAACGACCCCATCTCCTCCACCCTGAACTCCCCCGTTCCCACTGGCAGCTCGAGTCTCACGATCCTCTGCTTCGCGATCCCATCCATCCCGTTCCTGTGCACATGGCTGAACAAGAACATGTGCTCGTCGTCCTCCTCTTCATCCGCTCCGTCCTCCTCTTCATCCGCTCCCCCCCTCCCAGCGTGGGCGGTCACCAGCGCTCTGTAATCCTTTGCCTTGCTCTTTTCCCCCCTCACCTTGCGGTAGACGTCTTGGATAATATCACGTTCTACGAGCCGGGGCTTGACCACAAGCAGATTATGCCTGTCCCGGAAACTCGCCCTGAGGTGGTCGTAGATGGTGGAGAAGAGACTGATGATGTCGCCTCCTCGGGCAACCAGCAGCCAGCCGTTGAGCTGCTCGACGGTGTTGCTGGACACGAGACCGAAGCGTGTGGTGGGGAAAGCGTGGCAAGCGTACTGCGCAGTGTCAAAGGTGTCGACGTAATTGCGCGCAGGTCCGGAAAGCTCTGCCCTGTGCCGCTGGAACTCCTCCGGCGTCTCCGCCCAGATCATCTTTTTGAAGATGTTCACAGCCTCTTTGGTGGAACCGATATGCTTCCTGTTCCTAACGTTTCGGATGAGATGCACGGCGCAGTGGCTGGGTATTGCGAGCGGGAGGACATTGGAGATAGCGGGGACGAGACCCTGATGGCAGAGGTTAGCCTGTTGAGCTCGCCAAAGAAGATACTGCTCACCTTGCCCCTGTCGCTCATGATCACCGTACCCTTGCTGTCCAGCCCAGGGTAGCAGTCGCTCAAACGACTCAAGAACCATTCCCAAGACTCGCGCTTCTCTGTCTTTGCATGACCCCAAGCTAAGGTCACGCTCTGCTTGTTGGCGTCAGATGCGACAGCAAGGAAGAGGACATAGTCGTGGCAAGACTTGGAGTGCGCGCCATCCACACTGACAAGCGGGCGCAGATGCGGCCACGCAAGCTGGCTGAGCCTGGGAGCAAAGAAGGAGGCGCCCATCCTCGTATCACACTCAGCAACGTTCCCCTCTTGCAAGGCGACGAAGCGTTCAACCCACGCAGAGAGCTGGCGGAAAGCTGCAGCCTGGCGGTCGACGTCGCCATCGGTAATGGCGAGTTTGGCGCTATAAATGGCCTGTAAGGGGACCTCACAATTGAGCTTGTCCTTGAGGATCTTCTGGAGGTCTTTGGCGGGGGAAGTGCGGGTGACGGTACAATGCTGCCTCAGCTACTCGTTTTGGTCAGTGACACAGACTCTCATGCGCAACCATTCGCTGAGGACTCACCATTGCCTCGACAAAGATCTGGCAGCTGTGGGACAGACGCTCTCCAGCCAGCGGGGTACAGGTATGCACCAGGTTTTGCTTGGACCTCTTCTTATTCGCCACAACCCACTTGTTGACGTTCTTGCGATAGGTGATAGTGACGTGATAGCCGCACGCAGCACTGGCCCCTCCGTTGTCCACCTTGCTGCCACACTCGTAGCGAATGCGCTCGGCGTTCGACTCGCCCTTCGCTGATGCACCACTCTGAGCAAGAGAGTGAGCGATGATCGCCACCTTGGCAGAGTCCGCGTTGTCAAACTCCATCCCCGACCTTAGCTCGGACGACAGTTCCTCCTCTGTACCGTTGCCTTGGAACTTTCGGAAGTCGGCAGGGGAAGGTGTCCCCTCGTCCTCCTCATCCTCGTCCTCCTCCACTACCGGCTGAATCGGGGAGCTACGCATGAGAGTATCCTGCAGCTGTTCATCGTCCTCCGCCCATGCCGCGATGTCAAGAGCGCGTTCCAGCGAGGCTGGGCCATCTAGCGACGCGTCGTCCATGTCGGGAGGGGGTGTTCGGTGTAGGTGGAGAAGAGATGTAGAAGCGGTCGATGGCATTGGTAGCGAGTGGTGGATGAGCGGTGAGGGTGAGAGTAGATGTTACGGAGAGATGCAAAGTGCAGGGCCAACTTGACCAGCAGTGAGCGCGTCCGTCGCCCCAGCCAGAGCGCGCCGAGGGCCCCTGGATGACCCTGTTGACGCGCACCTAACAGCGGCTGGGAGCAGTTAGGCGCGCTCAAACAGCCAAAATTCGGCAATGTCAAATAGTTGGAATCGCCGGTTGGCTGAGGGGCATTATTTAGAATCGCCGGTTGCCATACAGTGGCTCAGGAGGGGCGACTTTGGCCCATAATGCACCGCAAAATGTTGGAGGTGACCACATACCCAGTATGTTGAGGCCGCAGAGAACGCAGGCAATATCGCTTGTATCGTCTCCCCAACCTCCATGCATGTAGCGGCGAATCCGAGCTATGCATTGAGCCCCAAAACAGCTCTCTATCTTGAACTATGCATGAGGTACAGCTCTTCCCGTAACCGGAAATTCTAGTAAATCACTTTTGGAACCGGCGATTCTAGACAGTAACTTTTTCGCAACCGGCGATTTAAAATAATTCCTCTAGACATGTGGTATGCACGTGGTATGCATGTGGTGTTCCTGGCAAAAACCATCTCTGGTGATTTTTCAAAAATCACTTTGGCCTGAAACCCGCAAAACGTTTTTTTTTTCGTCCACGACATTTTTGCTGCCAGCCAAAAACGCTCGACGGAAGCAAATATCATCTGAGACGAAAAATCATTTGCGGTGATTTTTTGATATTTGAAACATACTAATAGCGGGGATTCACAATATCTTGGAAGCATTCTCTATGTATAGAAAGTGTCTCTATGTTACCCAGTCATTGGGCGTCTCTTGGATCGTAATTGGGGTGAAAAGATTGAGGGTGCTTGGGTGTCTAGGTCTTGGTTGGAGATAGGTATTGGGTTGAGTGGGAGTTGGTTCTATACTTCTATCTCAGAGGTGAATTGCTGTGTAAGGGTGGTGATAGCAATGTCCCTAGATATGCGTAGCTCCTGGTTTTATATAAAATGGTTGTGAGGTAACAGGATAAGCAACAGGGGTGCCACAAATGAGGAAGTAATGACAAGTGTTGAGTGATGAGTGTCGTCACAATGCATCCAGCTCAATAAGGAATACATATCGAGATGTGTGATGACGTGGAAGCTGGAGCGCGGTCCTGACCTGGCTCAACGCAAGCCTCGAGCGTCGGCCGGAGGAGGAACGACGGAGGGGCTTGTTGCTCTGGACCGAAAACTCGAGAGCCTGCAACCCAACAAAACAGTTTTTTGTCCATAACAATTTTGTCAATGCAGGGAGAGGCTCAAGCATCGAAGGCGTTTGGCAAGCGGAGGTGAGGTGGAGGTTGGCTTGCCAAAGCCGAATTGAGAAGCCAAAGCCCCAGAGTGGGTGAGGGGTATTGATAGCAAAGGAAAGGGTTCAGTAGCGAAGACAATGAGTTTTGTTACAGGCAGGCTTGTGCTTCAGCATGACAACCATCTTCATTAGGGGAATTCAATTTGGCGTTCTTAAACTTGCGGTCTTAAACTGGCGGCCTCAGGGTCAGGGCAGGGCTCAGAGATAAGCACGTGGCTGGCCCTGGGAACGTCTGGACCCAATTAGATCCCGTCTGTCTC